TAGGACTAGAGGCCCAGTGCATGAAATTCGTGCATGGGTGCGGGGGGTATCCCTTAGCCCGGCTTGCACCCTCTCCAATCTGGGATCCCTCTCACAATCTGGGACTGATGGCTCATAACCGCTTGCCTGCCTGCCTGCCTGATTGCCCCTAACCCCTCTGCCTGCCTGCCTGATCACCCTTAACTTGCTCCCCTGCCGGCCTGATCACCCTTAAGCACCTCTGCCTTGGTCCCAGGCCTAAGCCGCAGTCTGGACTCACTCTGCAGGAGGCAACCTGGTAGATCAGGGGAACGTGCTGTCCCCATTACCCCACTGCTGCTGCCACTGCCGGCCTGAGCTTTGGCCCTTTGCAGCTGCACCTTGGCCCTCACAGCCGCTGCAGCCTTGTCTGGAAGGACGTCCGGAAGGTCATCCAGAAGATGTCTGCCCTAATTAGCATATTACCCTTTTATTAGTATAGATTAATCGTCCCAGATGTAATGAAGAGCTCCAGTTGAAGAGTAAGGTGAAACAAACAAACAAAAAAATAAGGAAGTACCAAAAAGAAAAGCATAATAATGTATTTCAAAATATTATTTCAAGTATAAAACAAGAATGTCTACCCATGCATAAAAATATAATTGAGAAGAACTAGGTAACAAGGTAACATTAAACAATGGTGTTTTTTTTTAAAAAGTAGCATTCTATTATAAGTTCTTGTCTTCCCTCTCTCTATCCTGTGGTACTGCTAGAACTCAGAGAAACTTCTCTTCCTTGGCAGGGTCTCTGGTATGAAGTTCTGATGAGCAGTACATGCTTGGCCCTTACACTGGTCTCAGAATTGCCACCTGTCTGACATTCTTCAAGTCTTACCTTGGAATGTAAGTCTGGAATTTACTGAGGTCTCCCCATCTCCTCTTGGTTATGGGTCCTAGTGTTCAAGGGCTTCTCTAGATTGGACTTATTAAAGGTAATAGAAACCTATGCCTCCCTCCCCCCAATATTACTTTTTTACTAGAGGCCCAGTACACAAATTAGTGCACTGGTGGGGTCCAGCCAGCCTGCCCAGATAGTGGCTGATCAGGCTGGCCGGTGGGGAGGAGATGCAGGGGTGGGGCAATCAGGGGTGGGGCCAGCTGCTGGAAGGGGCTGCGGGCGGTTGGCCAGCTGGCCCTGCCCCCTGGTAGAACTCCCAGTCAAATTCCAGGTCAAAGGGACAATCTGCATATTAGCCTTTTATTATATAGGATTTGGTTTCTATGTAAAGTAGTCTTTCTTATTTTCTCAGGTAGCCCCAAGTGTTATACAATTCTTGATGTTCCCTTCAATTTCTTGAAAGATTTCAATATCCTCCATGGTCAGAGTCAGAGAACAATCCATATGGCATCACATGGGGTCACCTTGAAATAACATCTGTTAGTACAAAATCAGCCAGTTTACTATGATTCAATTCAAACATCTTCCAATACCTTTCCCTGAGTTTTTAACACATCTGTATTCCCTAAGAGGTCTTAGGTTGCTTTTATCCTAATATTCTTGGAGAGTTTAAATTCCCTTTTTTCTTAGAGTCCATTTACAACTTCCCTTCAGGGAACATCATAATCTTTTGCAAATATATGTTAGAATTGGGGATTCTAGAGTCCATTTACAACTTCCCCTCATAATCTTTTGCAAATATATGTTAGAATTGGGGATTAATATACAAATTAGATCTTTTGGGAATCCAATCCAAGCTAGTTAAAATGGCGGAGAGGATTTATTGGCTCATATAACTGGAAGTTGACAGGTAAGCTGGCTTCAGGTTTGGTTTGAATCAGCTGTTCAATCACATCTTCAAAGATTCAGTTTCCTTTCATCTCTTCTCTATCTCTTGTAAGTTCATCTTTTTCTTAAGCCTGGTCTACTTGTGGTCTACTTTAATGGTTATGTCCACTCCCAGGGCAATGTGCTAGTCCATGCACATCTATGGAGGGAGAAAGGATCATTTCCAAGAGTGTTCTCAGAAGAGGGAGGGCGTTTTTTCTCCTGAAACCACTCCTCTGATCTCATCAGCCTGACATCAGTCATCCTGGGACAAATAACTGCGACCAGAGAGAGAGATTATGTCCATTAGTTTGGGCTTTAGCCACTTGCCCCACTGCTAGGGTGATATGCTTAAGGGAGGTGAAGATATTTGAATTAAAATGTGGGTAGGACTAAGGAAAGGGAGAGTAATGTTAGAGAATAACCACAATGTCCAGTATATCTAACTACTCAGAAGATAATAAATGTCTTGGAAGTGATGAAAAACATACTGTGCATTGACTACTAGGCCTTGTGCCAAGCAACATACGTGTTTCTGACACTGTTAGAGAGTATCTGCCCAGACTATTGCCTCTTTTCTTTGAGAATTTCCCGCCCTCAGGGATGGGCTCTGATAGCCTGTTAGACACCTGGTCCAGATTAGGCCAATTGTCTTCCTGCTCCAGGAGTTATGTAGTGGGATTCCAACAAGTTAGTCTCTTGTGGTCTGTGGGAGCAAATATATGAAACTGGGAGCTGTGGAGTGGCTGTTGTTGAATGTGCCTAGAGAAACAAAGAAAGCCAGTTCGGGAAAGAGAGGAGAAAGACGTAGATTATGAGCAGAGGGAAGCAATAAAGGTAGTTGTTTGACCCTAGAGAGGGGAAGACAGAGAAAAGCTTCCTTGGTTCCTGATGACTTCACATTCAGCTACTGGTTCAGCTACTCCTTAGGCCTGTTAATCTGTCTAACAGGTTGTTATTACTGGCTAAGGTGTTATATAATCATTTTAATGACGCTGCAAGGGAGATATGATTATTCTTGACTCTGTAATAAGGAAACTGAGGCTCAAAGAGCCTCATGGAAGGGGATGACTCATGAAATGGACTTTAAAAGGAGGAATAGGTTTTTGGTAACCAGAGATAAGAGAAAGGGAATTCTAGGAAAGAAAAGAATAAAGAAGCCGAGGCTGGAACTGTGGTAGTCTAATTTGAGTCTAATTTGGGTAGCGTATAAGATCCAGGCAGGGTTAGGGTAAGATAAGTCTGGAAACATTTTAGAGTAATAGTGTGGCCATTTTTAACATCACTTTTACCCCTTATCCTCCTCTACAACTTCCTCATTTTCATTCTCCAAAGAAAAATAAAGGTATCCTTTCGATTTGACCTATGTGAGAATGTGCAATTTGGGGTTATGTGAATGAAAGAAGGGGTTATGTGCTAGATCCCACAAGGTATAGGGGAAAATTGAAAGAGCTTTTGAAATAAGTAGACCTAATTTTAAATCCATTACTATTGTAAGAACATACTATTTATAAAACTCAATTTCCTTGTCTGCAGAGCAGGGAAATCACTCCACAGGACTACTGAGAAATAAGATGAAAATAAGGCAGATACATAAAATAGCTTTGTGACCTTAAGTAAATCATAGGTGGACAGACCGAACAAGCAGAGGAGATTCAGCTGAGAGACAGTCTGCAGCCAGGAAAGACAGAGAACTCCTAGAAAATGGGGATGGTTAGAGATTGAGGCTGAAACCTCCCCCTGGGCGCCAGCTCAG